TAATAGTGTTATTATAAAAGTACTGGAAGAATATAAAAATGTAGGTATAATTCCTGAAAATGATATAAAATATTTGCCTCAAATGAGTGAAGAATTGAAAGAAAGTCTTTCTCGAAAGTTTAATTATTTAAAAGAATATGATAATAAACATTTAAATGAGTGGAAAGAAAGAATTAAAAGATTTCATGATTTTTCTTATAAAAATGATAAAAGTGGGTTAATTGATTTTATACCCACAAACATTATTAAAAATGAAACCCAAAATGCATTTGTAGAGAATTCTATCAAAGTTGATAATCTACTTATTACAAGTTCCAGCTATAGCAATCCTAAGAGTTACTTAGTTTAACTAATAAAATATTTGGATTATTTATTTTTTTCTAATAAATTTTCTAATGATAAATCTGAAGAAAATTTAGAAGACATAGGCGATTTAAATAAAGAAAGAATTAAGATTGATATGAATATGATACTTAAAAATCTGGATAATTACTCAAGTTCATTTAGTTATCTACCTTATTTAAAAAGAATACTAAATAAAAAGAAATTTAAGTTTAGGCCATCTAAGTCTGTTTATAAAACATTGGTGAAGATAAACAAAGAACTAAGAAATAACTCGAAATTAATAAGTAAAAGAATAATTAAAAAATTGCAAAAGAAAGAAGAAACACTTCTATTTAGTGATTGTTTAAAATTTTTAGTTGTGTTCCAATTTAAGAATATCAACTATTTTTGGTATCCAAATGTTAAAGTAACAAATGTTTTTTACTTAATTAAGTTAATATTACCCAATTTTATAGAAAAGTATAAAAAACATATTATTGAGGGAAACGATTTAAATGATGACGTTTTGAGATTTATAAAAGATAAATATCCTGAATCTATCGACCAGTTTAAAGGAATAGAAAGTGACCGCATTAGATTTCAGAAGAGTGTAAACAATGAAAGTTACAGCTCTATGTTGATTACACCACCCTTTTGGATTAATAATTATGAAGAATATTTTGAAGGGAAAGACAAATTAGAG